AAACCCAGACAGGGTTGGTTCTAATGGCTAAAGTCATCAAGCTAATGAAGCCCAGGGCCTCACCTCCTCTGCAGGGGACTGGATTACTGGGCCAGCGCTGAGACCCACTGATAAAGTGCTTCCTCTTTGGGGGTGCCTTTAAGAGACCATCCTTGCTCACAAGCATAGTGATGAGATCAGCCATTAGGACCGCCCCCGTTCATTCAAGGCTCCAGTCCCAGCTCTTCCCAAATTAGCTGGGTGCTGCTGGGCAAAGGCTGTTTGCATCTCTGAGCTTCAGTTTCCTCCTCTTAAACGGAGAGCCACGTCCTGCATCACCCACGGCCAGCTCAGACCTCTCCACCCCACCCCAACCCCGAATAGTATTGTCCCACCACCATTCATTAGGTTGCTTTACATATTCCAGTAGACCTGGGTCTCTGTGATAGCGGCCAGGCCACATTCTGATCTCACCTCTCCTCCCGGGCCCCTTACCTCTCTAGAAAGGGGAGGTGGCCCAGGCCACGCTCAAGGTTGACAGCTACATCATCTGGAGAGTCCACGCTGGCGGGCACATGTGTGAAAACACAACTCTGAGCACAGTAAAAAACACTCTAGCCCCCACCGGTACTCCCATATTTTATCTAGCCTTTAATAGAAGAATTGGAGGGAAAACATTTCTCATGTTCATTGTTTTCCTGACTAAGCCTCTGAAATATTTCTCAGGTGAATACTTCTGGGAAAGAGTTTAGTTGAGTGATATAGATAACTACACCAAAATGTCATCTTAGCTTCCTGAAAGCAGTGTGCCATGGCTTGTTCTTGCCTAGGTTTTCTGAAAGTAACGCTGGTGGGGTTTTTTCCTCTAATGATAAGAAGAATGCACATTCATGATAAAGTATCTGGAAAGCACAAACTAGCACAAAGAAGAAAGTGAAAACAACCCATTGTCCCCCTCAAAGACAACCCCTGCCAGCAGGCTGACATTAACTCTTTCTAGGAGTATCTCTGTACATACATATATAGAGAAATGTAAGAAACTAACTGAACTCAGTAACAATGTTTTCACATATAGACATACATGTTTTTGTTTTACAAATTTGAGAGTGAAAATTGAATTTCACTTTTCAAAAATATTTCATGTAAGACTCATTTTATTAAAATTGTATCACTTTGATTAATATCAATAATATTTAGAATTTTTCAGATACAAGCTAATAAATTTTCGATAATACAGACTTCAACTAAACACAAACTTTTCTTTTTTGAATTTGGGCTCACACTCTATATACTTGTGTGTAACTTGGTATTTTTTGAAGTTTTTTTTCCCATTAAAAAAATTAGGTATATGTTGATAAAATAGATAACCAACAAGGACCTACTGTATAGCACAGGGAACTATACTTAATCATTTTGTAATAACCTATAAGGGAAAAGAATCTGAAAAAAAAATAGATATATATGTATGCATAACCGAATCACTTTGCTATACACCTGAAACTAACACAACATTGTAAATCAACTATACTTCAATTTTTTAAAGTTAGGACACAGTTTACACATTAATGTACAGTTCTGTTAAATTTGACAAACACATGCAGTCATGTACCTACCACCACAGTCAGGATAAAGAATTTTGCCAGTCATCTAAAATATACCTCTGAATGTCATCAAGCTTTCTGTCATTTGCAGTGCAATGACTTAACCAGTCTTTTTTTGTTGGCCATTTGAGGTTGCTTACAATTTTCCTCTTAACTGATTTTGCAATCTGAGGGAATGAAATGAATGCATGAAAATGAGTGAAATCTGGGATTCTCATTTTCCTGCCGTTATACCAAATGGGCTTCTCCCTTCTCTGCTTGGAAAACTGCTCATCCTGAGACCCAGCTCAGATGTTATCCCTCTGTGAAGCCCCTGTGATGCCAAATGGAGAGTTGGTTCCTCCTTCCTCTGCAGTCCCAAGGCACCAAGTCACACGCTGTTTATAGGACAGACATTGTAATAGTCTGTTTCTCTTCTCCCCTCCAGGCTGTGAATTGATGTCTTTCGCAGTCCTGTGTTCCCCAAACCTAGGCCATGCCTGGCTCACAGTGTTCTATAAATGTTCATGAAGTGAATGAACATTCTACTGTGTTGAACACAATTTTAGTATTGTGCTGACTTTTTAGGAGGCAGGTACTTGCTGAGCATGGTGCCAATATGGGCTGGATGAATTAAGCTGGTACACTTGAGGAGAGCTGGATGTTTTCCTCTGTTACAGACCCTGGATCAGGGATGCAAATTCATATTTATGTGGAGTCATTCAAATATTTATTGAATGAACAAATACATGGATGAAAGGTGTGGTCCTGGACTTGGGAGGTAAGAAAGCCAATCAGACATAGCACCTGTTTTGGTGAGTTCACAACTGGGAATCAAGGAATCTACCTTGGAAGGCTTCACCCCCCTCCCCCACCATGCAGCCTTTACTTAGACTTAGCGAGACAGCAGCCAGTGTCACTTGGCAACAATGCCTGGACATTTTGTCTTGCCAAGAGTTTGTGATCCAGGAGTCAGACCTTGAGTGGGGAGCATCTGCTTTAATTTATTAAAGGTGTATTTATTAATCTCTGCATCTGCAATATATAGCACAGGACTTGGCACACAGCAGGGATTTTTGAAAGCTTGCGCAAGGATGAAATATGGATATGAATAAGGATAACAATGTTGAGAAAGATAAAAATGACCACCATTCGCTGAGTACCTCCCCAGCCAGGTCCTTGACTAGGTGCTCCCTACACATTCTGTTTCTTATAACAGCCCTGGGGTAGGTCTGTATCACTCACTCTCCCATCTTACAAGTGGGTTCCCCCGCGGTGCCCAGGCCCACACCGCAGGGAGAAGTATCTGCTGGAAGTTGAACAAGGTGTGCCTAGCTCCAAAGCCTGCCTTCTCGACACAGCGCCCAGGAGCCTCAACATCAAACGCTGCCCATCTCTGCCTCCCCAGGTACTGCACGTAAAGCTCGGTAATGGGTCTTGCGTCGAAACCGCGTCCTTCCGAATCGTGCAAGGACCGGTTCCTAGGAGGCTCCGGAGGCCACACCGCAGGCTCCGACCGGCTGCGAACAGGTGACTTGCACTGGGGTGCGCTCCGGCGTAAGGTGTGTAGCCGTGACCTTCGGGAAGTGTCGGGCTCAGAACCTGGCACCCAGCAGACGCTCGATAACGGCCTTCGGTGTCCTCCGCGGCTGTAAGCGGAGAGTTGGGGGCAGCCCCCGAGTTGGAAGACGCTGCTCGGAAAGAGAACCAAAACCCGGAGCCCGGTGCCGGAAATCAAGAGCGGCGACTCGACCGAGGCTCACCCACCTGGGCGGGGCCGGGGGCGGGGCTTCTACTGTATCCAGTCAATCGGCGTCCGAGAGGCGAGCCCGCCCCCCTGAGGAGGCGGTGCTTGCACACTCGGCCGCCCCCTGAGTTCCTCCCCCGGGGGACGGGGCGGGGCGTGCCGGCGGCGCTCGGTGCTGACGCTGCGCCGACGCGCCCGACGTCGGGCACGTTGACGCCGGCGACGCGCAGCCGGGCCCGCTCCTCCTGTGCTCTGCCCGTGTCCGGCCGCAGGCCGGCCTTAGTGACTGGGGGCGGCGGGCCCGGGGCGGCGGGCGCGGGGCGGCGGGCGCGGGGCGGGCGGCGGGCGCGGGCTGCCTTCGTCGGGCCCCGAGCTCGCCTGGAGCGAGCAGCCGCCCGCGAGCCGCCGCGGAGCCTCCTCGCCCGCTCCCGCCGGCGAGCAAGGTAAGGGATAGGGGGACTGAAACAGGGTTGGGGCGGAGCGGGGCCCCGGGCGCCGGCGCCCTCCCCGCGGGGGCCGCGCGGCTGGTGAGTGTCAGCCCCGGGGGAAGGGTGTGCAGCGGGGCCCGGGGTCGCTGGGGCAGGGGGCGCTGCCCGCGGGACCCCCGGCGAACGGGCTCTCGGGGCCGTGCGCCCCCCCTCCCCGACCCCAGCGCCAGGTGACCCGCGCCCCCGGGGACCCCAGCGCTGGGCGCGGGGGCGAGGACCTGTAGCCGCGGGAAGTCCCGAGCCAGGCTGGGTTCCCGTGGTGAATCGTTCTCGCCACCCTGGCGTCCGGGCTGCTGCAGCACCGGGTGCGGGTGCGAGCGGGGTAGAGTCGTTGTCACTGTCAGGTGCGTGGTATGCGGTCCTGGGCATCTCCGTCCCGGGGGTCCGCCGAGCCTGGAGCACCGGCGGCAGCCTCGGAAACCGGCCCCCTGCCCCTCGCCCCGTCATTATATTTGAGACACTTAGTAGCCTCTCGTAATCTCACCTTTCATTTTTCCTTCCTTCCTCGCCGTGCACGTCTGTCTCGACCTGCTATATTTCCATTGTGGAATTTTTTGGGGGCGGGGGGTCTGTTAATTTACGTGTTAGGTTGACTGACCAACCATTGTAGCCGTTGAAAAACACCTCTCGCGCCCTTAACGAGTCCAGTTCCGTTTATCGCTCACCAAATCCAGCCCAAGAATTCAGGGAGCCGTCAGTCCTTCCTAGGAGCTGACTGCACACATTCCTCTAAGATGCCTGATGGATTTTGTACTTGTCAGTTTTACTGGCTGTATGCTCCTTCTGTGCTTTTCCTGAAAAATGATTGGATGGCACGTGTTTTGACTTTCTCTCCCCCACCGGGAAATAGAAAGGAAAAAAAAAAAGGTTACAGAAGCACACTTGTTTTCAACAACTAGAAAGTACAGCTTTGCAGAGAGAATGCCACAGGGTTTGTTCTTTATGTGAGGGTTGTCTTCTTTGGTCTTTACCCCTTCACTGGATTACTGTCAGTATTAAATGTCTTCATCTTGTGTGTTCTGGGCACTTTGTATATGCATGTGTATGTTTTCCCAGTTTTTTTCTGTACAGAGCAGAGCAGTCAGATCTGGGAATAATGAGGCTGTCAGCCTTTCACTTACCAGCTACAGATAGCTATAAAGTTGCAGCTTTGGGGAAGCCTTTATTTTGCACTTGATGACTGTGGTCTGGGTCTTTCATTTCAAGATGATGTGCGAGGTGATGCCGACCATCAGTGAAGCAGAAGGCCCCCCAGGAGGAAGTGGGAGCCATGGGTCCAGCTCCCCTTCTCAGCCAGATGCAGATTCACATTTTGAACAGTTGATGGTCTCCATGCTGGAAGAGAGGGACCGTCTCCTTGACACTCTGAGAGAGACCCAAGAAACGCTGGCCTTAACCCAGGGGAAGTTACACGAGGTTGGTCACGAAAGAGATTCCTTGCAGAGGCAGCTCAATACCGCGCTTCCACAGGTATGGGTGATTTTCACCTGAGTTTTTTCTAAACGCTTTTTTACGATGTTGAAATTTTTCGATGTGTATTTTGCGTAATCACTCGTGAAATGGTGGTTCTGTTATTTGTAAGTCCCATATAGATAAAATTCCTGAGGATTAAACTTCTTAGTGAGAACAAACTCCAGTGTACCATAAAGTTCTGTAAAAACACCTTATTGCCCTTGTTCCCCTTTAGAGCGGCAGAAGGAACTGCCTAGATTTGGAAGAGCGCTCCAGGGTTTTTGAAAAAGGGCTATGAAGCAGCCAAGCTCTGTGGTGCCTTCCGTTTCGCTGTCTTAAGCTATTCCTTGCCTAAATGTGTATTTCCATGGGTTGTGTTATGTATTTCCAATTTCCTAATGAAATTTACTGGACAAATAGGATTGATTTCACAGGAGAAATATTTTTACAGCCACCTTTCTCAGAACACCGGTGTTTTGTAAATCAGGTTTGTTTGAGGGGATAGAAGACGGAAGATGGATTCCTTTGGAGCTCTCTCTGTGGCAGATGAGAATTATAAAGCTTACAGCCACACTGAAGTTTTTCATCTAAGGATATCGTGTTTGGAGCAGTGTTTCAAGGCCTTTTCTTGTGGAGCCGAGTGAGGATCTAATGACACGAGCAAGGAGAGGGTGTCGGCTAGAAGAGTGTGCACTGGGTGGCACAGAGCACAGTGGGAGATGTGTGTGTTCCTTGGGTGTTTACGAGCTGTGTAGGTGCCATTTTACCTATTCATATAGGTGCCTTTATGGTGCTTTCAGGTGGACATGAATAAGCATGCATTTATTCTCTCAGGATGGGTCTGCAGTGGTAAATAGTAAATGAATAATTACTAGCCTTAATGCATTTCTGGGCTTTAGTCAACTCTCCTGAAAAATGGGTAAGCTCAACATTTGGATTTCCTTTTTAGCAACAATAATCTGATGTCAGTGCTGTAATGTTCTGTCTTTGTCAATTTGAGAATCATTAAGTTTTTTCTCATTTGAATCTTGTAAATTACCAAGTTTGTTTGGGTCAGATTTTATTACCACAAGCTTAGAAGGGTTGGCCAAATTATGTTTTACTGGGATTTTATTGTAGTATTTGTAAATCTTTTCAGTACTTTGGGGTTTTTTGTTTTGTTTTGTTTCTTTCGTAGCTGTATTTGTCTTCTTATAATTTGAGGTACATACACTGAAGTGTAGTTTTTTGAAAGGATGAGCACAAGGGATTTGTGACAAGTAAGGGACAGGAGTTTTGTAAAGTCCAGTCTCATGCAGTGGAGGTTGTCACACCAGCCAATGGGACAGTCGCTCAGTGATTTGTTGCTAGCTGCTGCTCCGTGTTGTAGCCTGGAAATGCCTTGTTGAGTGGAGAATGTGATGACGTCACCAGCTCACCTCACCACCTGAGCACCTGAGTCCAGCGTTTTAGAAACACAGGAACCATTAAGTAAACATTTTTTGGATCCTTCCCTTTCTTGGCATTTGTCTTCTGTTTGGTGGCTAATTGTGTGACCAGGTAGGCGTGTGAATAAACTCCTGCCAGGTTATGTAGGCAAGTAATAGTGTACTTAAGAAAAACTTAACTGTAACAGAACATACGTCAGAAAAATTCACAAATCATAAGTGTACATCGCAGTGAATTTTTCATTAAGCAAACACACTCTTGTAACCACTGCCCAGACCAAGAAATAGAACATTATCAGGCTTCCCAGAAGCCCCCTCCCACCCACTCCCAGTAATTGTCTCCCAGAGCTAACTGTGGTCTCGACTTTCTGCCGTTGATTAACTTGGCATGTTCTTGACTTTGTGTAAATGGAATAAAGTAACGTGTATATTTTATTTCTTGATTCTTTCATTCAACATTATCTTTGCGAGCTCTATCCATGTAGCTTTGTTCGTTCTCATCTGCTATTTAATAACCCAGTGTATGAATGTACCATAATTTATTCTTTCTGTTGTTCATGGGTATCTGGGTTGTTTCTAGTTTTTACAAATGCTGCCCTGAATGTTCTTGCTTTTTGGTACAGATATGTATGTGTTTCTGTTGGGTGTGTTCAAAGGAGTAGCACTGCCAGGTGATGGAGTATGTTCAGCCTTAGTAGGCTCTATCCAAGGTGGTGGTCGTGACCGTTGTCCTACCTCCCGCAGTGTGTGAGCCGTTGGTTGTTCTGACCCTCAGTATCGGCAGTTCTTTGGTTGTAGCTGTCTGGTGGTGTTGAGTGGTAGGAACTCAGTGGGGTGGGGACTTGCTCCCTGATGGCCAGTAAACATCCCTGGCGTTCGTTGGCCATTTGCTTACGTTCTTTGGTGAAATAATTGTCTTTTGCCCATTTTTTGATTGGGTTGTCTGTTTTGTTTCTTACTGATTTGAAGGAGTTCTTTTTATATATTCTGAGTACATATATGTATGGCAGGTTTTTTGGGGGGGGTGTTTGCCTTTTCACTTTCTCAGTGGTGTCTTTTAAAAAGCATAATTTTTTATTTTAATGTACCCCAGGTGATCAGTCTTTTCAGTAATATTTAATGAGCTTTGTGTTCATTGAAAGATATCATCACGAAGTTGCATGAAGATGTTATCCTGTAAAAGCTTTATTGTTTTATCTTTTACATTTAGATCTGTAATCCATCTGAAACTGATTTTTGTTTATTGTGTGAGATAGGGGCCAGGCTTCATTTTTTTTTTTTTTTTTTCCTTTAAGTGTATGGCTATCCAGTTGTAATTTATTAAAAAAAGCATCCTTTCCCCAGTGTGCTGCAGTGTCATCTCTGTTGTAGATCAAGTGACCGTAAGTGTATGGGTCTGTTTCTGGACTCCCCTCTGCTCCATTGATCTTTTTGTCTCTTTTGCACAAATGCAACGCTATCTAAATTACTGTAGATTTAGTCAGTCTTCATATCTGGTAATTTAAATCCTACACCTGAGTCATGATTCAGTATTGCCTTGGCTAACCTTGACCCTTTGCGTTTTCAGATAAATTTTAGAATCCACTAGGCTGTCTTTCCCCAGAAAATGTGCCGGGATTTTAATTGAGGTTGAATTTAATTTGTAGACCAGTGCGGGGAGAAATGACGTCTTTTTAATATTGTTCTTAGAATCCATGAACACAGTATATATAGTCCTCCATTTATTTAGATCTTCTTTAATTTGTCTTAAAATTTTACAGTTTTCTGTATGTCTTATGCATGTTTAATTAGATAGCTCATATTTTTGATGCCATTATAAATTACTAGTATGTAGAGATAGAATTAATTTTTCTGTATTCACTTGCTAAATCCATTTATTTCTAGTAATAATTCTTGTATTTTCTATGTATACACTGTTATGTCTGCAGATAAGTTTCTTTTTTTTTCTTTCCAGTTGCTGTAACCCTTTTTCTTTTTCTTGCCTTATTGTACTGGCTAGGATCTCCAATACAGTGGTGAACAGAAGTAATGAGAATAAATATCCTTGTCTCATTCCCAGTATCAGAGGAAAAGCTTTCACTATTTCACCATTACATATGATATTTACTGTAACTTTTCTTTAATTTTTAAAAAAAATTTATTTATTTTACTTATTTCTTTGGCTACTTTGGGTCTTCGTTGTTCCGTGTGGGCTTTCTCTAGCTGTGGTGAGCAGGGCCTACTCTTCACTGCGGGCTCCTCACTGCAGTGGCTTCTCTTGTTGTGGAGCACAGGCTCCAGGCACACGGGCTTCATTAGTTGTGGCACGTGGGCTCAGTAGTTGTGGCTTGCGGGCTCTAGAGCACAGGCTCAGTAGTTGTGGTTCATGGGCTTAGTTGCTCCGCGGCACGTGGGATCTTCCCAGACCAGGGCTCGAACCCATGTCCCCTGCATTGGCAGGTGGATTCTTAACCACTGCGCCACCAGGGAAGCCCTACTGTGGCTTTTTTGTAGATATTTTTATGAAAATATGAAAAATTTCCTCTTTGCTAAGAGTTTTTTAAAATCATGAATTAAAATTATTACATTAAATTTTCTTAAGTATATTTTCTGCAAATTTTAAAACAACCAAGTGATTTTTCTTTTATGTGGTGATTTAACTTTTTAAAAAATTTTGTGATTCTAGAATAATCCCAACCTGATCTTGATGTATTCTCCTTTGGTTGGATTTTATTTGTTAATTTTGTTTAGGATTATTGCATCTGTATTCAAGGTCTGTAATTTTACTTTCTTATACTTCTTGTCCTTGTTGGGTTTTGGTATCAAGGTTATGCTCGTCTCATAAAACAAGGTGGAAAGTGTTCCTTTTTTACCCCCAGAAGAGTTCCTGTGAGATTGGTGTTTTCTTTCTTAGATTTTTGGAAGAATTGATTGGCAAAACCAGCTGGTGTAGGATTTTCATTAAGGGATGGCTTTTAATTTCAGATTTAATTATTTTCATGGAAATAGAATTTTTCTGATTTTATATGTCTTCTTGTGTCTGTTTAGGTAAAGCATTTTCCCCCGCTAGGAATTTATTCAGGCCACCCAAACTTTCCAATTAGTAAGTGTAAAGGGGTTCATAATATCCCCTTTAAAAAATACTTGATACTGGTAATTTGTGCTTTGTCTCTTTTTCTTAATCAGTCTCTCTAGGGGTTTATCAATTTTATCAGTCCTTTCAAAGAACCAACTTTTGGCTTTATTGATTTTTTTTTTAATTTCATATTTGTTCTCTATTTCCTTATTTTGTGCTCCTTTTTCTTCCATTTGCTTTGTGTTTCGTTTGCTATTCTTTTCTCTGGTTTCTTGGGATAGATGCTTAATTGATTTTTAGCCTTCTTTCTTTTCCAGTACATGTGTTTAAGGCTGTAAGTTACCCTCTAAACACCATTAGCTGCATCCCACAAATTTGAATAAGCCAAACTTTCATTTATCTTTTATGTAAAAGTATTTTCTAATTTTCATTGTGTTTTTAAAAATTATTATTTAAAAAAATTTTGAAGAAGTGTGTCGTTTAACTTCCCAGTGTTTGGGGAGGCTTTTCTCCTTATCTTTTTGTTGATTTCTAGC